TTCCGAAATATTAGCATAAAAGTAAATTTAAAAAAATAAATATTCATCAGTAACTTATTAATAAGTAATTAATATCTATATGAATTTTCGTTTTTGTTTTATACAAGTTCTTGGAAAACTAAAAGTTCATTAATTTACATTATATTTGGTTACATGATATTTGTTTACAATTTTAATCATCAGTAACCTATTTTATATGTATATAAATTATAATTGAATTTAGAAATACTCATATAAAATTTATAAGTTACAACTTTTGATTTTTTTAATTGAAAATGTACACACACCAAGGAAGTTTTAAAACAATTAAAGTTTATATTATTGTTTAAAGMATAACATATTATTTATGGTTAAATTAGTTCTAAACATCTCAGAACAGTTCTAAATGTTCTGATCATCACGCATATAATATACATATTATGAAGTTATAGTAGAAACATTAAACTAATTTTAAAACTTTGTTTATGAAGGTATGTATTAAAATKTATTGAAATATAATATTTTGATGACATCATATTATAACTATTTGTCTTTAATCTATGTAACTCAATTATAAACACAAATTGCACTGGCTAATACAAAAATAATGATCAAATATCCTAAGTTAGTGACTACATTTCCACAAGCTCAGTATACATATAAGCGCACACACATACACAGATACTTAAATAAATTATAATTTTTTTAAATAGGAACGCATTGARWTGAAATTATGTATCACATTGCWCTAAATTATAACATATATTAATTTTTGATTAAGCCATAACATATGTATTTTTAATATTTAAGAAAAACTTAGTCTAGAATTGATAACAAAGTGAAAAGCTAAATGTTTGTAAAACACTATTTTATTTTAAATTCCAATTATCCGCACCATAGTAATCATAATAAATATACATTCAGCAAAACTAATTATGCTAAAACTGAAGCTCATTTTATTGTCATATAAATAATTTTCATAACAAAGACTCATGATGCACGTGAAAACCATGTGCGTGGATTAATATCACAATGTAATTTTTTTTCTTATATTTTATATATTATAAATTTAATGTAATAGTTCATTTCAGTTTTTTTTTAATGCATTAATCAACATTTTAAAAATTAACTGAATTATTTTCTACATGCTATTATTATAATATAAAAACAAATAATTTGATTGTATACCTATTTCGAAAACACTTGATAAAATTTCAACATTTTGTTTTATTCAAGGACCCAAACTTACAAATAGTTTGAAAACGGCTTGAATATTTTTATACCTCATGCCCATGGTGATGGATCACACATTATAATTGCTAATTTTAATGATGCGCTAATAATAGATGGTAATTAATGATATTATTATACACAAACACAAAAAATTGGATATCCGAATATTATAACATTCATTTAATACTATTGAAACATAATAAATATTACATAAAAGAAGTTATTATTTTGAAATTATAAATGTTTTTTTTTTTAGCAACTTTTATTTTGTTTTCCAATTTTACTTAACTGAACTAAATTTTATTAGTTTTATCAGATTACTATTTTGCTATTTTTAATTGCCTCTGTACTGTAGATATAAGTTTAATGTACATTATCACAGTCACACTACGTTTTCACAAATCATACAATGATTAAAAAAGTAATCACTATTTTATGTACATACATATCAAGTCATAGTTAGGTATAGTAATTCTAAAGGTTATCTCTAATTATTTTACAAATAATTAAGGTCAAGTATGGCAAGACAATTTGATTATATAATACGACAAGAAGTTGTAGGATCTCTACGGGCTATCTTTGTTTCTGTTAATGGTTGTTTCTCGCAAAATTTTCTAAATGCAAAAGAAGAACACCATTTAAATTTGTTCGTAGCTACTTGTTCAGATTGGTTGTCAAAATTAATAGGACAATTATCATCATTAGCGAGAGTTTTGTTTGAATTAGAATTGCATTTGTTTTTCTTGTCATCACAATTATTAGTTTCATCATCGGCAATTTCCTCAAACCAATCTTCGTCCGATGAACTATGATGGCTTTGATACCTTTGTAAAGGCATATTATTGAAACTAGGAATTGATTTGAGCCTGATACGTCTATTATGCTTCCAAGCTTTTTGCATGATCGTCGGAAATTTCCATTTGTGTGTTTTGCAAATGCAATTAGTTACGGGAAATATGCTTTTATGTGTTCCATGTTTGTCAGATATTTTTTTACGCAATAATCCACAAGTAAACGGCTTATTTGTTTTGCAATGACTTTCGGTATAATTTCGTGTTAAAGAAACATTGCCAAGTTTATTATCATCTGTGGATGTAGATGGTGCTGGAGGGATTTTAACTTCACCTAATACATCTATATCTGGTATAATTGTATCTACTACTGGAATACARCATTCATTTGAATCTACACATAAATGATCACCCAATAAAGCATGCAACGGATTTTGGGTTTCAGGAGGCACACGGTTAAGCTTACAAGCACAATCCACTCTGTCCACTATACCTGCATTGTTCTTAATGTCACATTTCAAGTATACAGGCTGAAAAAACACAACAATTCACAAAATTTAAAAGTATCTTACATTAAATAAACATATAAAAAGTAGCATGTACAATAACTGTAATATAAACAATATTATTAGTAATAATAACAATATGAAAATTATATTTATTGAACTATGATTATTTTGTTTTTAATTCCGGTTAAAAGCTTTTCTAATTAGAATCAAAATATTGAAGGTWAATATTTTTAAGAGAAYGTCAGGTGATGTCTTACAATTACATAACAAAATTATGTTCAKCAAAATTAATTTTATGTTATTAATTTTAATAATAGAGTGAATTAAACTTGAGAGTAAGAAAATCATCTGTACTTGTACGTCAGTTTTTTAATATTCTTAAATGAAATAATGTGATCACTTTAAATTGTTAAATTTTCCATGCTGTAGTATGCTGACTCTTAAAATAATCTTTATAATAGATAAATAACTTAGATGGTAAAATTCTTATTTTACC